AGACGCGAACCCTGTTCACCAGATTACGAGTCTACCGCTCTTAACAACTACACCACACTGGCTCTCACCAGTACTTCCTTCCCAATCCCCTGCTCACCCCAGTGTGTCCCACTCCTGGCTACACCCCTTGCCAGGATCCTCTTTCTTCTCTCTGTTGCCCTGCCAGTTCATGACAGTCTTGCCCACACGGACTAGCAGGAGCTGTCCAATGTTTCAGGGAGGGATCTCCCCCAGATCTACCTGGATATGTCCTGGATTGACCCTGGAACATTCTGCACGCTAAGCAAATGTTCTCCCAATGAGCCATAGCCCTTCCCCACATCCCCTGACCACTGGTCATCCTGGCTGAGCTTCTTAGACTCAAGGAACATCTGGATTGCCCCAGGTTTCTTACTCCTGTGCTGAGGTAGAAGCAGCCTGTGTACGGGAGCAGAACATCCCACCACGAGATGCAGCAACCCAAAATGGGAGAGAGAACTGAGGATTTTCTAACCAGAAATTACAAGGCAGTTGTCAGCTTATGTCTCATTAAAAAAAAAAGCATTTGGGGGTGCAGGGGCAACCCAACTTCTGAACTTCTAACCTTCCAGGAATTTCCCTGGGAACAGCCTGCTTAAAATCTTGCGGCAGTGTGCAGCATGCCTATGGGGCATTGTTGATGCTCTCCCTATTATGGCACCTGTTAACATGAGGCGAGGGGGGCAAGGAGGGGGGAAGATGTCGCTCTGGGATTCACTGGGACACGGCAAAGCTTTTGATGGTGCCACAGTTGCATTTGCTTTGGACAAGCCTGGCTTTGTGCTAATTAGGACCCTCTGGGGGATTTCCAGCCCTGCAGGGTGACAGTTTTGTTGCTGCTACCATAACAGAGATCCCAAACCACAACACTCTAAGGTACTGAGCATGCCAACATGTTTTACCACCCTCCCCTCAAATGGGAGTGGGGGGGGGACCTTGAAATAGTGAGATCATGGTAAACTGAGCTCTTGTGGTTGCTTTGAAGTTTTTTTCTCCCCTACAAAAGGCATGTCTTTAAACTGACTTGTCAAAGTCTCTGTCATCTTGCAACTTTAGAAATTACTCTGTGGTGGCAATTACAAGAATTTGTGTGTGTTACTGGCCAGGCCAGTAGATGGCGCCAGCATGTGTGTACAAGCTGGATCTACAGGTAGACACATCAAATAAGTATTTTGGTTTAAAGCATTGTAAATTTAAACAGGGAAAACAGGTAGAGAAAAACAGGACTCCACATCGCCATCTTGTGGCACAATGTTATATCGCATATACAACTCATATAAATCACTAGACTTCACCAGTCTAGCTGAGTCCCATGTCTGCAGAAGAAGCTACAAGCTACCTCAGAAAGCTACCTATGGACCTAGCTACACATGTTACAGGCAAATGCCCATAATAAAGCACCAAGATATTTCCTCTGCCCCCCCCCCCCCCTTTAGTGAAAAAGGAGAATTAGTAGGATATGATTTTGACTAAAGTGTGAAGAGGGACAGAGGGCTGGGGAAAGTATTATTGCCATCTGGAGAGGCACCCTTGTGTTACCAGAACAGGGGCAAACAATATTGAAAGTGGGATTGTGTATAACTGCTCCAATACTATCATGTACTACAATTAATCATGAATGCACAATAGAAAGGATAACAGTTCTTCCTTTCTGGCCCCAGCATCTCTTATCCTTGTTTCTCACTCTTAGCTCACCCTCTGTCCTCAGTTCACCAGCCAGCCTATTATTGCCTCAAAAATAAATGTCTGGTTTCACGCAAACTGACATCAACCACTTTCTTGATTCTTTGTTGCTTACCGTCTTGTCACGCTGCTATATTATTTTCATATGTCTGGACTTTCCAGCATTCAATACTTTTGCCTGTACACTTAGTCTAGTCTAGAAACAGATCATAGACCTGCACTGGGCCTATTTCTGTAAGGGACTGTGCCAACTCTGCTCATCTTGGAGTAAACCCCTGAATTTGGAGTTGCAAAAGCTACTGAACTAGGGGCATTTCTATGAGGAAAAGGAAATGATAACCAAGGACCACTGTGAAGGCAGAGCACAGGCCAGAGAGTCGGGCTGGAAAAGAGCAACAGCAACACATTCCTCGCCAACATTTCGTTCCCTGAAGGTCTTCCACGTGTACATAGTGCAGACATCAGCATCAGGACAAGACTGCAGACTGACAGATCCAGCCAATGCTTGAGTCATTACCCAACAAAAACAGATGAGTGAGGGCCAGTGAGGTGATTTGAGCAGAGAGTCAAAGCAGGAGCCAAAGGCTTCTGCATGATTGCCTGGAATTTGAGATTAAACTGCAGTTCCCAGAAAATTGCTCACTTGATATGCGAAATGTGACTTTTGAGATTGAAGGCTGAAGAAGAAACAATCTGCAGAGGGGAATAATTTTGGGCTTGGCAAAAAGGCTGAGGGCGTACAAGGCAGCACCATCAAAACAGGAAACCGGGAGAATTCTCTGCAAATGGTGGGATTCAGGTGCGTGCAAAGTTGTGCTCTTCATAAAGAATTATATATATATATATATATATATATATATATATATATATATATATGGATAGAGCTAACCACAGAAATGAAAACCAGTTACAAACATAGGCGCACAGTGTGTGGTGGCAGAAAAAGGCCTCCCAGCTTACAGCAGCAGGACTCCATCAGTTCAAGGCTATGTTGAGTTAAGGGCTGTGTATGCACTGCTGCTTACTCTGAATCCAGTACACTCCCACCACTGGTTTAGGAAAGTGGAACACGCATAACATTGGCCATAATCCATATCCACGCAGTATTAATCCAAGAATCGTAGAATTGTGGAGTTGGTAGGGTCATCTAGTCCAAACCCCTGCTATGCAGGAATCAAGACTAAAGCAGTTTGTTGAAGGAGCTGGGTATGTTTAGCCTGGAAAAGAGGAGACTGAGAGGAGATATGATAGCCATCTTCAGAGATCTTAAGAGCTGTCACATTGAAGAGGGAGCGTGCTTCAAGTTATAAGAAAGGAGATTCCAATTAAACATTCGGGAGGAAACTTTCTGACACTAAGAGCTGTTTGGCAGTGGAACAGACTCCCACGAAAGGTAGTGGACTCTCCTTCCTTGGAAGTTTTTAAGCAGAGGTTGGATGGCCATCTCTCATGGATGCTTTAGCTGAGATTCCTGCATTGCAGGGGGTTGGACTAGATGACCCTTGGGTCCCTTTCAACTCTAAGATTCTAGGATCCATGACAGATGGCCATCCAACCTCTGCTTTAAAACCTCCAAGGAAGGAGAGTCCACCACTTCCCAAGGGAGACCATTCCACTGTTGAACAGCTCTTACTGTCAGAAAGTTCTTCCTGATATTTGGTCAGAATCTCCTTTCTTGTAACTTGAAGTCACCGATATGGGTCCTACCCTCTGGAGCAGGAGAAAACAAGCTTGCTCCATCTTCCATGTGACAGCCCTTGAGATACTTAAAGATGACTATCATATCTCCTCTCAGTCTCCTCTTTTCCAAACTAAACATACCCAGCTCCTTCAACTGTTCCTCATAAGACATGGTTTCCAGACCTTTGATCATCTTGGTCACCCTCCTCCTCCTGTAGCCTGTGAAATGTTGTGTTTTGATATGTGTCCCCCTCCAAACAACAACCCAGCTTTGATCCAAATCAAGAAAAATGACATATCTGCCTTTTAAGCCAGTAATATGTACACAGTCAAGAGCATAGCAGAGAAGAAGTGAAAGTTTCTTACAGATACTCCAGATCCAAAATTGTAGCCTAGAGCCCTGCAAGGCATCAGAGAGAAGACCATGCCCCCAACTGTAACATCTGTGCAGTTCCTTCACCCTTCACCCGACTCCTCCACCACCCAAGGAAAAAGAGATGAGCCACTCCCCTGGCAATTATGGGAAATCATGTGCTAACTTTTTATTTTTTAAAAAAACAAAGTCACATCTTTCTTAACAGGTGGAAGCTGTGTCCACACTCACACAGGTAAATGTTCACAAGTGAGTATTCACTGTGGCCTTGTTGGTGACAGATTCCCCATGTGCAGACCCATCAAGCCCAGTGAAAACAAAGAAGTGCAGTGCACTCCACTCTCCTCATTGCCATTTCTGGTCAAACATTCATGGCTCATTCTTCCTTATAAAATCAGAGCTAGGGCACAAGGAGCAGAGCAAAGAGAAACAGATATAGTTGAACCAAATTCCTCTCCCACTCCATTTTCACCACACACAATCAGAGCAGCTGTTTGGTTTCGCTGCTTTTGAAAGGGGAATTCACCCCGAGGTTTTCTGGGGAGGCTGCTTAGTTGACCTTATAGCAGATGTGGTTTGCCAAGGGAGAGCCACTTCAAAAAATACCACTGTGGCTGCTCTTCCCAATGACAGTGATGCTCTCCTCAGTCCATTTTTCCCTTTACCAGAATGCAGTGTAAACAATTCTATGCAGTGTTGCAGTGTCCTCATATAGGCCTGAAGCAATGCAGTGCAAGAGACCCAATGGACAATGTTGGGTTTCACTTGGAAATGGATTTTGTTCAGTGTTCCACTGTGGACCATTTCCTTACCTGTAACACTTTTCTTTCCCTGGACACTCTCACTATTGGACCATGTTCACATCCTTAGTGCTAGGCAAACGGTCATTATCACCAGTCCTCTTCCCTTGCCTGATTGCTCCCTCTGCAGGTGAGAAGTTGAAGCACATGTGAGTCCTGCAGAATAACAAGAGTGCTGCTTTCCTCAACTCCGTACTAGCATGGGGATCCAGCCTTAATCAGGTTTAGGGTGATGCAAACAGTACAGCTGAATCTGGCAACACACACACACCCCTGGCCAAATCTTAATCCTTGGGAATGGGAGAGAGCCAATGCTGCGTAATTACACTTGCTTTCACCATCGTATGTCAGGGAGGTGAGGCCAAATGAGAATCATAGAAATGTAGAGCTGGAAGGGACCCTGAGGATCATCTAGTCCAACCCCCAGCAATGCAGGAATATGCAGCTGTCCCACATGGGGATCGAACCTGCAACCTTGGCATTATCAGTACTATGCTCTAACTGACTGAGCTATCCAAGAATGGATAATAGCATGAGCAGACCACTTCAACCCATAGAAAGATATCTCAGCCCTTAATTTTCTGGAGTGGGGAGAAGTGAAAGCAACTCCAATCAGCATCAGCTGCCACTACTTGAGTAGGTGTGGTCCTTGCCAGACTGATAGATGCACCAGCAGACCCCTCCTTTCAAATCATCAGACCACAGCTTCTTCCCAGCTGCTGCTGAGTGGGAAGCATCTTCTAGAATGCTTTTCCCCATCAGCAAATGGACTTTAAGTCCTCTCTCTAACCTGCTTACCTGTGGGTGGAACTGCTGAGAGGATGATGTCCAAAACCCAACGGTGAAAATGACTTGGGAAACGTTGCCTCCAGTCCACTTTTATCCTGTTCTGCTATCACTGATTTTTTTTAATGAACATTTTACATCATTTTAAGGAAACCGCTCGGATTTTTAGCAGTATATAAATCTCACTAAAAGAAGCGAGATGAAAATATTCCTACCAAAGGGCTGCGCGGATGGAGTTGCTTCTTCCCTTTTTATCACCGGCAGATGTATGGAAGTGATTCCTCCCCTTGCAGGAAATGCTGAGAGGAGCTCAAGAAATGGTGTTGCTTCCTACAATCTTCATCCACGCTAGCATCACTACCAAGACATCATCCTCAAGTCCACCCTTAAAGATGGACAATCCTTAAGACCGCCTATCTTCTGTGGCCATTCACATCACTAGATAGATATTTCCTTGAGCAATATTCTGCGTATTTTAATGAGGATATAGTGCACAGTACGAAACTAAATAGTTGTGCTAGCACTATGGGATTTGCTCCTCTCCACGCCTCATGCATGCCCCATAATGTCCCCAGATCTGCTCTGGAGGATGAGGGGAAACCCCAGAACAGATTTAAGGGGCATGAAGAAGATGGAGAGGGGCACAATGCTCCATTGCTCAAGGAGAAATCATTGTACTCCCATATAAGTAAACTGTAACAAAACCTCATTCATATTGCAGTAAGTGGCATGATCAATAGGGTAACCTACAAATGTCAAACTGCTGGCATTTCTCTTTTGACACAAGAAAACATCACAAAGCTATGCTAAATTAGTTGACCTCAATAGGCAGAGAACTGCCAAGCACTAAGTATTTAATATATGTATCAAAAATGTAAGAAAAATACAAATCATTATCATGTTGCATTATTTAATCACATTAAATAATTTAAAATGTCAGGTGATCCAATAGTTGTCCAGAACAGTGGGGTGGGAGGAGCTCAGACATAGGAAACAGCAGTTTGAATTTGTTTTCTGCCACAAAATCCTTTGCAAGTCGTGTGCCGATTTGAAGAAGAAGAAGAAGAAGAAGAAGAAGAAGAAGAAGAAGAAGAAGAAGCTCCCGACCAAATATTAAAAACACAGTACAGCATTAAACATTTTAAAACTTCCCTAAATAGGGCTGCCTTCAGGTGTCTTTTAAAATAGTTGCTTATTTCCTTGACATCTGATGGGAGGGTGTTCCACAGGGCAGGCACCACTACTGAGAAGGTCCTATGTCTGCTTCCCTGTAACCTCACTTCTCGCAATGAGGGACCTGCCAGAAGGCCCTCGGCGCTGGATCTCAGTGTCCGGGCTGAACGATGTGGGTGGAGACGCTCCTTCAGGTATACTGGGCCGAGAACTGTGTCCCAAATGGTGTAAAACCACACAGAAAGTGAGGGCATTACTGATGCCATCCAGCAGTGTTGATCTTTTCACACTGTCCTCATGGCCCTTGGAAACTGTAGTTTTCCCACAGCCTACCAACTTGCAGGTGAACTAAGATTTCCTCCTGCTACAAGTCCTGGTGGAAATGTACCTCACAAAATGTATCTCTGCTCAAAGGGCTTGTATAAGAATGTTTCATTCTTTCCTCTGGTCTTTTTCTTCCCTTCTTCTTTCACAAAGTTTTTGGAATGCTGTTCTGTCAGAGAGTAAAAACGCTGGCTGTTAAAATTATTTCAGCCCTGGCATTGATGATTTTAACACCAGGGGGCACCACTAACTCATGAAACAAGAGGCAAAGGCTTTGTGGGAATAGCTCAGATTTTTACATTTGTTTGATTGTCACATTTGCACAAACATATGAGCAGCACATCCATATAAGCCAATGGGGAACAGGGGATGGGTTAGGTAGCAGAGGCTTTTTTTGAAACAACATGTTTTCCTTCACTGACCCTCAATTCCCTCCCCACCCAACCCCCCACCCATCGGGCAGGGAAAGCGGGGAACAGCCATGGACCAAACTGTGAACATTTCCTCTCTCTGGTTTTGTTTCATTTCCTGTTTCCGTACAGGTTTTCAGCACTAGCCCAGTGGAATTAGATGATTTATAAAAGCCAGAAAAATGCTTTCAGCTTCTCCCAAGGGCAGGCCATCCTTTTCAATGGCACAGAAACAGATTGCTCCCTAGTACTGAGCAGAGAAGAGGTTTGAAGGCTTTGCCAGCTGGAATGGCCTTCAGCAAACAAGTGGCAACCAGGAAATCCGGCTGTTCTGAATTTGTGTATGTAGAAATTTGTTGATTCGTTGCACAAATCAAACACAAGGACACTGAGCCCATCTCTCACGCAAAACAAGGGAGAACCCAAAGCTTGGAACCTGGGAAGAGGCAATTAGGCTATGTACACATTACTGGCTTAAAATGCGTTTAGGTCATTATTATTTTTTTCTCAATTCAGATTGAAGCTGGTTTGGGTGGGGGACACATCAAAATGCAGTATTTCATCAGAACTCTCAGGGCAGAATCAGTATAGAGACTAATGTGGTGGGAGAGCACTGCACACAGCCTTAGTCTTCTTGCATCAGAGCAGGCTTCCTCAACCTCGGCCTTCCAGATGTTTTTGGCCAACAACTCCCATGATCCCTAGCTAGCAGGTCAAGTGGTCAGGGATGATGGGAATTGTAGTCTCAAAACAGCTGGAGGCCGAGGTTAAGCCTGCTTTAGAGCTACTTCCACATGGCACAAGTCCCTCTCTCCTGGCACATCTAGCAATGCTCTTTACAAAATGGCATATTAAAACACATGCAGATGTCTCTTAAGGATAACCATGTTGAAGTTTATTTAATTAGTAGTGAATACTTTCAGAAAATTTCCAGAAACGAGCTCGCCAAAGACAAAAGAATAATGAAACACACGCACACACACACACACACACACACACACACCACTTGTAAATTGTCTTTGATGGAACTCAATGGCTGTTTTGCTCCCACAAAAGATCACGTTAGCACTATGGATTCATTGCTTTCCGCACATTTACCTGCAAGTGGGGTTAAAACAGATTCCACATAGCACAATATAGTGAAAATCATCCATCACTGTCTTTGGTCCATCTAGCTCAGTATTGTCAGACACTGACTGGCAGTGGCTGTCTGGGATTTCAGGCAGGGGTCTCTCCAAGCCCTACCTGAAAATACCAGAAGTTAAAATGGGGGGGGCATTGGCATGCAAAGCAGATGCTCTACCACAGAGCTATGGCTACCACCATTTCTATGCATCTTGAAACTCCCTCTGGAAAATGCTGCCTTCTTTAGATGGGATGATGTCTTCTTTAGATGGGATGTTGCCATCTTTAGATGCTGGGATGATGTCTAGATCAAAGAATATCGCTTCTCCTGGCACAGAGTTTGGATAGGAAAATTGGATTATGGGCCTACAGTGGCTACAATCAATTTGGCATATGGCAGCTGCAGGGAAAGCTCAGTCCCTGCTGAGTTCCAGCCGCTCTCCGCATGTTTCAAACCAGTGATCTACATGCGCCACTTTGTGTTGGATTCAGCTCTTGGCATGCAGACACACAATTGCATTTAGGGTGGGTTGGAGTGGCACAGGAAACACTGAATTCAGGTTGTGGCGATGGCTGAGCAGTATAGACTGGGATGCTCCTTACAGCTACCACCACATGCTGAATTGATCATAAAAGCAGGCCTTGAAAGCTGCAACTCTACAGACTTTTACAAGGGAGTACGACAAGGCTGTATATTGTCTCCCTGCTTATTTAACTTATATGCAGAATCCATCATGCAAAAGGCTGGGCTGGATGAATCCCAAGCCGGAATTAAGATTGCCGGAAGAAATATCAACAACTTCAGATATGCAGACGACTCAACCTTGATGGCAGAAAGTGAGGAGGAATTAAAGAACCTTTTAATGAGGGTGAAAGAGGAGAGCGCAAAATATGGTCTGAAGCTCAACATCAAAAAAACAAAGATCATGGCCACTGGGCCCATCACCTCCTGGCAAATAGAAGGGGAAGAAATGGAGGCAGTGAGATATTTTACTTTCTTGGGCTCCATGATCACTGCAGATGGTGACAGCAGTCACAAAATTAAAAGACCCCTGCTTCTTGGGAGAAAAGCAATGACAAACCTAGACAGCATCTTAAAAAGCAGAGACATCACCTTGCCAACAAAGGTCTGTATAGTTAAAGCTATGGTTTTCCCAGTAGTGATGTATGGAAGTGAGAGCTGGACCATAAAGAAGGCTGATCGTCAAAGAATTGATGCTTTTGAATTATGGTGCTGGAGGAGACTCTTGAGAGTCCCATGGACTGCAAGAAGATCAAACCTCTCCATTCTGAAGGAAATCAGCCCTGAGTGCTCACTGGAAGGACAGATCCTGAAGCTGAGTCACCAATACTTTGCGCCACCTCATAAGAAGAGAAGACTCCCTGGAAAAGACCCTGATGTTGGGAAAGATGGAGGGCACAAGGAGAAGGGGACGACAGAGGACAAGATGGTTGGACAGTGTCCTCGAAGCTACCAGCATGAGTTTGACCAAACTGCGGGAGGCAGTGGAAGACAGGAGTGCCTGGCGTGCTCTGGTCCATGGGGTCACGAAGAGTCGGACACGACTAAACAACTAAACAACAACAACAGGTCTTATTGAACTAAGTGGGGGTGGGGGCATGCTTGGGCTCATGCTGCGCATGAGTTATTTCCAACCCAACCCCAACCCCCACCAGACTTTGGTCCCAGTGAGAATG